ATCAATCAGCCATTAATCTATGAAAAATTAGCCATGAAATATGTTGTGGGAGTGATCAGGAGAGAGGAGTGGAACCTGGAAAAGCACGGCCTTGTGATCACAGACGGCAAAGTCACTGAGATTCACATTATATCTGCACAGAAACCACGGGAGAGCGTGTAAGCAGTGTGTAAGAGGTGTTATAATGAAAAGATAAACACTTTCACTTCCCGAGCCAAGAGACGGTCACTACTCGCTGCTGCCCAGACAGAGCCAGCCAGCCCACCCGTTGAGAAGTGTACAAATATTTATTATGAAACTGTTCAGACAAAATGAACATTGGCGAGCCACCACCGTCTAGTTAATTAATGGGAAAACACTGCAAAGACTAAAGATCAGAACAATCAAAACAAAGTCACATCCACTCCTCTCCAATAAGATCTTCTACAACATATTTCATGGCTAATTTTTCATAGATTAATGGCTGATTGATTGAATTATTCCACCACGGTATCTAGGAGAGGCATAGTTGGAAACAGCAGATGTCTGACCTCAATGTTACGAAAATAGGCAATTTAGTGTTTCCTAAAAAAATTCACACTTTTCAGAAGCTTTTATTCGTCACTCTCTTGCAGACGTGCAGCCTCATCTGGGAAGAAGGGGAACGTTCTACATACCAACTGAGAGAACGTCTTCTCCCCGCTAAAGCTCTGAGGTAGGATATTTTTGTTTCCTCTTGCTGACTAATGAAAGTGTACCAAATCTTTTAAATTCAGTGGCCTATTAGGCTTTGTTATGAACCCCTTGGAAATACATGGACTTATAGGATATGGTCTGTGATAGACACGGACATTCTGACACCATCCAGTGTGATCTACCCATCCTGAGAATATCTTTGTTTCTGATGTCCAGCTCTTAGAAATACCTGAAGCTGGAGTTAAAGCCATTTAAGGAGCTCATTTGTCTCCTTTGTTGGTTCTCAGAGAAAAGACACAAAGTGTTGGGAGAGGAACAGCAGAATGCATGAGGACAAGGACATCTACAGTAAGTGAGTCTGAAAAACATCATCGTCTGTACACAGCTGGAAACATGAACATTCAAAGAGCATGATTTTTATATTTCAATGATTGTGCGTCTGTAATGTTTTTTTTCAATGTTTCTGTCCTCCAGGAGGAGCAGCTGGAGAATCACAAGGAGGGCTCATCAGTCGCCACTGAGACCAGATCTAAAGATCCAAACGCACTGAATGCGTCTGATGCATGCGTTTTGAAGTACACACATTTTAAACTTCCGAACATTCCCCAAAAGCGTTATCGCGTCCTTCAAACTGCTTTGAAGCCTGCGCTCCGATCTCAATTTTAAAGCGTCAAATGAAGATGCAGCAAACCAAAGCTTTCTTTCTGCAGTGGACGGAGTGTTTTTGTGGTCTCAAGAACTCCAACAGGATGATACAGCGTATTGTGTGACGCCGATTTCACATCAACTAGTTCAACTTTTTTCATATATCAATAATTTGGGCTCCAAGACGCTGCATCACACGATACACTTTCCCAGCATCACAATCCACATGAATGCGTAGAACGTAGATCATACATGCACTCGTGCATAAACGTGCCTAAATACACTTTAATTGAAGTTTAATTGATACTGCTGGTTCTGTGGTGTTGGCATTTTGAATCTGATGCATGCAGCGTGCCATAGATGCATCAATTGAGGCGCATCATTCAGTGCGTTTGGGCCTTAAGACCAGCAGAGGAATTCAAGAGTAAGGAAACACCAGTAAAGCAAAAATATTTTCTTTGTACTTTGATTATTGTTATGAATAGTATGTCATAATATAGTGTGTCTTCAAAAAATGTCATAAAAAATATACCTTCAAAATTTCATAGTCTTAAAAATGAACAGTAAATGCCATAAAATGATATAAAATATCATAGTATAGTATGCCATGTAAATGTTATAAAAACACCATAGTATGATGTCCGGGTGTGGCAACACGTTTTGGCAAACAAACGCAGGTCTCAATTACAGGCGTGCAGATCCGAGTGTGCTGAGGTTAGCACAACAAGAGAAATATACATAGCGTACAGTAGGCTACACATACATCTTTCTCTTCTTCTCTCCTCAGATGAGTGTTCCAGACCAAACAACGACAGAGTTCTTCTTTTTGTTCAGCGTATTCTTCTGTTTGAACTCAGAGGTCTTAAAAAAAAAAAAACCATGTCGGGTTGACCGTCAGAGTATGATGACGCATTTTCAAAAATAAGAAATTGTTAATTCTGTTCATCATTGATCTTTTTCACATTCATGACAACAGATATACTGACAGCTGTGAGGAGTTCCACATCCATGTCATGTTCTTGGATTGAGCCACTGACTTTCTCTCTGACCTCTCAGCCAATAGTTCCCACCAACCGCCATTAGGTTAAAACTGATTATGAACTACTCCTACTCCTTATTCACAATGCACGTGCTTGGGCCAGTGCAGTAGTTCAGTTTGTAACCGTCTCTAGCTAAAACAAAACTATGAGAAGTTAACTAAGTAATTCACCTTCTAAATAAGGAATGGCATTTGTTCTTAGTGCTGCAACTGCTCCCAACCAGAAGATAAACAAGTGTCAAATGAACTCTGAATTATTGTAATAAGAGACAGAACTTACCACAGCTGCTGGATTCATCCAAAATGAATCTAAAAGGGAACTGAATTGGATTTGTGGATTTATACAACAAGCTCTACAAAGCTCAACTTAGATTTTAATGTAAACTTATAAACTCTCCAATTGGTTGTTTCTTACATCAATACTATCTGGGACTTGGAGTTGACTCCTACGTTTGTATGTAGGAGTCAACTTTTTAAACCGAAAAAGTTTCTTTAGTACTGATTTTATATCTTAGCCAAGAGTTGGAAAATGCCCCGACAATTGCTTGATGTTGAAGTCTATAAAGATATTTTTTCAACTGAATAGAATACATCGGTTGCATCGGTTCCTTTCATATCTTGCTGTAAAATTCTGTTGTGATCCAGTGTAAATTTAATAAAAGTTTAAAAAAATCAATTGAATGTCTATATCCATATTTTTGTATCTTCTTTTGTAATATTTTATATGAATGATTTGTATGGAGAGAAAATCAAGACAATAGAAAATCTTGAAGAATTATTAAAGGATGTGATTATTTTCGCACAATCGGTAAATGATGCCTTATAGTTTGGAGGATGTCAGTTGGATTTTTAAATGGCATACTATGAATTTGTTATGACTTTTTAGAGCTGCAATCAAGTTATCTTTGAAGTAAGTTTTCTTGCAAATGAGAATGTTTTGAGCCACTCAAATATGGAGATTTCCTGCTTCCATCTGTTTTATGTGATATTAAACTGAATATCTTGGGGTTTTGGACTGACAAAATAGGCATTTAATGAAATCCCTTTTGACCTTTAAGAAACTGCGATGGACATTTTTTACTAATTTTGGATATTTTATGGACAAAACAATTTATCTAGAAAATAAATGAGAGATTGATCTATGATGACCATAATCATTAGTTGAAACCCAACCCTTTTTTATGGACTACTATTCACTATATAGTAGTCTATAGGCTGTAGTATAGCATATTAAAAAAATCATAGTATAGCATATTGAAAAATGTATCATTGAATAGTAAGTCAAAAAAAGTCACAGTAAAGCATGTCAAAAAAGGTCATAGTATAGTGTGTCGAAATAAGTCATAAAAAAGTCATATAGTATGATGCAAAAAGTCATAGAACAGTCATAGTATAGTATGTCAATACTAGCAACAAAAAAAGTCATAAATAAGTCATAGTATAGTATGTCAAAATAAGTC